ATCTGCGGTTGACTACATGGGAGTCCAGTGACATAGCCATTACACTAACTGCTGGTCCCTTCCCTCTGTTTTTCTCATGTGTGTACACATACTGTATCATGAATGGAAAAAAGTTAAGTTAATAAGTGTCCTAATATTGAACCCCTCTTGCATCTCAGAAGAAACTCACCTAATTAAAAAAAATTATGTGCATGATTTAAAAATTTAACTGTTTAGAGTCTGTTAATCCTAGAATTTTTACACTGATAATTTTAAATAAGATTGGTCTATAGTTTTTTTTTAAATCAGGTTTCAGTGTAAATGTTATTTTTAAAAAATATTTAATTTTATTTATTCATTAATTTATTTTAATTTTACCAGAGAGAGTCTAAGAGAGAGAGAGAGAAGGAAAGTGAGAAAACAAGCCACTAGGTCTAGGACTCGAACCTGGACCAGGTGGAATGTCCAGTGCCTTAATTGCCATGCCACCTGCTGGTCCCCTCGGTGTAAACGTTATTCTAAAACACTTTTTGGAATCTTTCTTTGTATGCTCTAGAATAATTTAAGTGGCACCGAGGTCACCTGATATCTAAGATTAATAGGTGTCATAGTCACTTCAGGCCCAGTGCTCCTGGGGTGGGGAGAGCGGTGATTGGATGACCTACACTTCATCTTCTAAAGAAATTGGTTTGTTTAGACTTTCTACCTTCTTTGGGGACATATTTGGTAAGTTATAATTTCCTAGAAAATTATATGTTATTTTATATATTTAAATGTATTTTTTAAGAGGTTTCTGCTATAGGGTTCATGTGCTTGCCAGAGAGACAGAAAGACCGAAAGTGAGAAATCACCCCCCAGAGGGATGGCCACAGTGCAATCCTTTCTCCTCTGTTCTCCTCTTGGGATCTTGGGCACGCACGCATATGCACCTGGCGTGAGTTTAAGACATTGGGTCCAGGTCTTGAACCATGGTTGTCTACATCAGAGTCCAGCGATGTAGCCATTATGCCATCTGCTGGTCCCACAAATGTATTTTTATAGAGCTATGCAAATGAAAAATCTCCTCAAATTAAAAAAATTCATTTTGATAACTTTTTTCTCTTTATTTTTATTTTGTATATATGTGATTTAAGGTAACTAGTAGTTTATTTTTTTATTAACAAATAAAAATAACTTACTTTAATTGTGTCTGCTTCAATTTCCATTTTTTTGATATTTTTTTTTTGCTATAGGGCGTGTGCACTCACCAGACAGAGAGAGACAGAGAGACAGAGAGCGAGAAATCACCCCCCAGGGGGATGGCCACGCCGCAATCCCTTCTCCTCCATTCTCCTCTTGGGATCTTGGGCACACATGTACATGCGCCCGGCGTGAGTTTAAGCCACTGGGTCCGGGACACAAACTGCGGTCGACTACGTGGGAGTCCAGTGACATAGCCATTACGCTAACTGCTGGTCCCTCAATTTCCATTTTTAAATTTCCCCAGTTTGCTTTTCATTTTCCTAACTTTAACTCACATACTTATTTTCATTCTTTTTTGGCTAGAGTGCACACGTGTACACCAGAGAGAGAGGGAGAAGTAAAAGTCCAAAATCTGAAGAAAGGGAGAGGTGAAGCGGAGTTCATGGATCCCCCATTCTCCATGGAAGGCACTTTCACCTTGCCGCTCTGTGATTTCCAGCGGAAGACGGTTGAATGTAAGCTGTGGCCATCTTTATTCTGAAGGTCTCCTCTGGACCTAGCACCTTTAAGAGGGGATCCCCATGTACCTCCCTGACAGTCTGTTCATGAGAAATTCAGCATAGTTTGAATCTCGTTTAACACACTTGGTGGAAGAAAACTGGTTCATCAAAATTTTAAAACACTGGGACCAGCAGTTAGTGTAATGACTATGTCGCTGGACTCCTATGTAGTCGACCGCGGTTCGCATCCCGTACCCGGTGGCTTAAACTCACACCGGGCGCATGTGCATGCGTGCCCAAGATCCTGAGAGGAGAATGGAGGAGAAGGGATTGCGGCGTGACCACCCCCCCTGGGGGGTGATTTCTTGCTTTCTGTCTCTCTGTCTCTCTGTCTCTGTTTGGTGAGGGTGCGCTATAGCAAAAACCTTCCCCCCCCTCAAGAAAAAAGAATTTTAAAACACTGAGGGTATGTTAAACTTAACATGAACACCAGCTGCGAGGATAAACAGAGGAGGGGTTCATTTATTGGTAGAGGAAGGGTAGCTCCCAGGCTACCTGGACAGCGTGGGTACCGCCCTGCCAATGTCTCACCTGGCTATAGACAGCCTCTCTGTACTTCTCTCAAGATCAGTCCCAACCACGGCCTCTCTCTGCAGACCCTCTACCCTCATAACTCTAAAATAAATAGACAGACAGACTGAAGTCCAAGGACTGAGGTTCTCCTGCCCACCTCCGTTCTCACCTGTAAACTTGTCTATATAGCAGGTGCCCTGCCACCACTCCTTGGCAGCTCTCCTGGGATGAAATGCCCTTTCTCTCCAAGATGACAGTTTCTTTCCAGGTATTACTTTCGTTCTCTCTCCAGGTCAGGTTTTTATCAATGATCTTTGTCTCTTCTGCGCCTTCCACAAATAAACTTCCTTCCTTCATCCTAAAACCAAACTAAATCAATCCAAAAATCCAAAACCATTTCTGGTTTTGTCACCTAGCCCTGTCAAGTTTTCTACCTCTTTCCCCCTTCCATAACCATCCACGCCAGCCCTGCCAGGAACTCTCTGCCGTTAGCCCGGCCTTGCCTCCACCACTCACTGAAATTACTATTGCTAAAAAAAATGTCAAGGGCTGGCCCCATAGTGCAGTGGCTAAGCACAGTGCATGGGGAGCCAGATCCCACATGGCTGACAGAGGTTTGAATCCTGGCCTTGGAAGCTTGAGAAACATGTCTGAAATTTGAAGGAATAGAGAAATGGAAGAAAAAGGATTGCTATGAAATAGCAATGCCCCATTGTAGGGGGGGTCCCTCCCCCATAGTGTGCACACCCTCAAACAATGAAAGAAAACAAAAGTCAAAGTTATCCTAATCATAAGACACAATAATCTCTCATTTAAAAAATTTTTCTAATAAATCAGTTTTATTTATTAGTGTTTTTAAACTTGCTTTAGGGAATGTGTGCTCACCAGAGAGAGACAGAGAGAGAGGGAAAGTGAGAAAGCAAGCCACCAGGTCCAAGACTCAAACATGGCTGACCATGTGGGAGTCCAGTGCTTTAGCCACCATGCCACCTGCTGGTCCCAGTCACCTCCTTCTTGAATCCCTCTGCACTGAAGCTCTTTGTGTGTGTCTCTAGAATAAGCAATCTCATTGTACTTATCTGCTGTCCTCCGTCCAGACATTAATGTCACTACTCCAGGGCTCTCGTTTCCCCCCTCCCACCATGGAATCTTGATTTTGTCATGTACGTCTGAGACCAAATAGCAGGTCTCAGATAAAAAAGAGTTTAGAAGTATTTTATTTTTCTGTTTTTTTTAAAAAAAATATAAGAAAGATTTTTGCTTAAGAGATCATGTGCTCACCAGAGAGACAGAGATAGACAGAAAGACAGAAAGCGAGAAATCACCCGCCCAGGGAGGATGGCCACACTGCAGTCCCTCCTCCAGTCTCCTCTCAGGATCTTGGGCACGGAGGCACTCTTGCCCATCGTGAGCTTGAAGCTGCTGGGTCTGGGACTCGAATCACAGCTGATTACGTGGGAGTCCAGTGATGTAACCATTACGCCATCTGCTGGTCCCCAGTATTTTATTTTTCTAATCATGACAAACAGGTTCAAAATATAACATCATTTAAAATGTTATTCCTTTAAAAATTAAATTTGCTTATGTTTGTGAATTTCATGTGTGCTGGTCATTACAAACAACTCTAGTGGGAAGAGGAATAGTAAAATTTTTTTTCCTTCGGTTTTTGGTATAGGGTGTGTGCCAGGGAGAGACTGGGGCAGGGAAGGGAAAATAAGAAATTACCGCTCCCCCTCCCCCAAAGGGGATGGCCATGCCACAATCCCTTCTCCTCAATTCTCCACTTGGGATTCTGAGCTTAGTTGCACGTGCACCCGGCATGATTTTCAAGCTACCAAGCCCAGAAGTTGAACTGTGCTACAGACTATGTGGGATCCAGCTCCTTAATTTCCACCGACTGGCCTGGAAAAATTCTTTTAAAAAAAAAAGTTTTGGGGGGACCAGCAGGTGGTGTAATGGTTACATTGCTGGACTCCCACATAGTTAACTGCAGTTCAAGTCCCAGACCTGGTGGCTTAAAAAGCTCACACCAGGTATATGCGCATGCATGCCCAAAATCCTAAGAGGAGACTGGAGGAAAAGGGATTGTGGCATGGCCATCCCCCCCAACACACACACTGGGGGAGGGGTGGTATGGTAATGTCTCACTTTCTCTCTCTCTCCAGTGAGGGCACACACCCTATAGCAAAAACAAACAAAAAAATTGAAATATATGCATAGATTTTTCATACTATGCATTTCCACTAACATTTGGAAGATCCCACGCATGGATTTATAGAAAATTTTAGTGTATCTCCAATAGACTTTAGTTTTTGACAAGTTGGTTTTAATAATAACAAATTTCAATCAGTGCAATACCACAGAGTTGTTTAATTTAGCACACTAGGAGTGGAAAATAAAAGAAGCAAGTTAGTTACTAACAGTTCTGACACAACTGCTAGACTTGTCCCTCTGCAGTTTTTTAGAAAAGTCATTTGAGGGCCAGTGAGAGGTGAGGAGGTTAAGGCGCTAGACCCCTCGTGGTCAACTGCACCATTAGGGTCCCCCGATAATCCACCTGGCATGAGTTCCCAAGATCCCCAGAGGAGAGTTAGGAGAAGGGATTGTGGTGTGGCCATCTCTCCTAGAGGGGATTTCTGGCTTTCCCTCTTTGTGTATGTCTCTCTGTGTGTCTGGCCAGCAAACACCACCTATAGCAAAAACAAACAAAAGCATTTGAGACTAAAGGAATTTTTAGTAACTTTATTTTCTAATGTTCATCCTACCCCTATGTTTTCTTTAACATTCTCACTCATTTAAAAACAGGTAGACTCAGAGACAGACGCTTGTCTTGGTACCGGGTTGGAGTCTGCCAGCTCAGCTTGGAAAGAGCTCAGCTCCGCCAGGAGAAGGTCTGCGCTTGGCCTCTGCACGGCGCTGGGCCGCCAGCAGCGCTCGATGGCGCGCTCCAGTTTCCGTCCCTGAGGCGAGTCGGTGAAGACTGCTGCAGAGAGATCCGGGCGCAGGTCGTAGGCCACCACGGCGTAGAGCACGTGCTGCCGCTCCCCGGAGTAGGGCACCTCCTTTGTGGCCATCTGCCACAGAGTGATGGCGAAAGAGTAGATGTCAGCTTTGGGCGTCACGGACTCTCCTTTCAGGAGCTCCGGGGCTCGGTGGGTGTAGGTGCCTCCGAGGTGGTAAGGGCGCCTCTCGGGGCACAGCAGATCTTCCAGCTTCTCCGAGCAACCAAAGTCACCAATTTTGCAGACGTCCTGCTCACTGACCAAAATGTTGGCCGGCTTCAGGTCTAAGTGCACGATGCTCTGCGCGTGGAGGAAGAGCAGGCCGCTCACAACATCCAGGGAGTACTTGAGACACTTGTGCAGGCTTAATGGCTTGCCCGCCTCCACCTGGGGGTGGCCGGAGGTCCCGTAGATGAGCTGGTGTAAAGTGACGTTGCCCCCGAACTCCATGATGATGGTGCCCAGGCTGTTGGAGCCCGCGGGCGTGTGCGTGCTGGCAGCCACCACGCGCACGATGTTGTCATGGCGCAGCCTTGCTACGTTGAGCTCGGCCCAGAAGCTCCGCTGGGACGCCAGCCGGTTCTTGGTGCACTTGTTCACTTGCTTTATGGCCACAGGAACGCCATGGTAAGTCGCCTTGTACACCGAGCCGAACCCCCCGGTTCCCAGCCTCTGCAGCAAGCGCACCTGCTCCCAGTCAATGGAGCACCAGGCCAGCCGGCGAGGCAGCCGTGGGGCCCGAGGAGCAGTGGCTCCCAGGAAGAGCTTTCCTGCCGGCCCTGGGAGCACAGAAGGGCTGCTGCAGGGCCTCGAGTCCACCGACGACGGCGACAGCTCGCTGGGAAGGTAGCTGCGCAGGGCGAGAGGCGAGGGCATTGCACGTGGCGAGGGGACACAGGGCCACTGGTGCAGCTGAGTGAGAAGGTGAGGAAAGACCACGGACGTCTGGAAGCATGCCTGAGTCCTCCTTCATCCCTTCCGGCCCTTTCTCCTCTTCCTTCATTTTCTCAAACGAGCTACACTTGGCTGCCTCTGCCGGCGGGAGGCGGAATCTGCGCCAAGCCCAACAGGCCTTTCAGGTGTAAGCATTTCCCTTCCGCGCTTAAAGTGAATGCTTAGGAAACGAGCTCTTAGCAGATGAACAGCGCTAGCTGTCCCCGAACTCACCCTTGCTTTACAGTTTCCTTACTTATAAGGAAATAGGCTTTTTCAAGATCCATCCACTGAATATTACCTGTCCTCAGACCAACCAGACGGAAAAAAGCACAATGAAATTGTTGGGCACTGTGCGGCTGTAATGATTGTTACAGTGACTCCCCAGCGGCGGCGGTAACTCAGAACCAGCTGTCATTGGCAGAAGGAATTGAAATACAAACAGCAGACATTTGTTTAACTGATTAGGGGATAATTAGGTGCAATGCTCATATGGATCAAAAAATGCAACCTTAAGGCAATTAATCCAAACAGAATTACTGATGCAGGTCAAAACAGACATCTAAGTGAAGGGGAAAGGAGAAATTTCCTGACACTGTATTCCGTTTATGCAGCAGATTAGCAAGCCTGTTCGCAGGCATATTGACCTCTGATATCCTTCCCACCCAGGACAATTCAACCCACGTGCTAAGTGCGCTTGCAGGAGAGATTCTCGACTTTGGAACAAAGGAGTTACAGAAGTTTTGAAGCAGGGTGTGGGGGAGAAAAAAAATACAAACGGTTCAGAACTATGATCAGAATTTCAAATAATAACAGATTTGGGACAATTGTAAGGAAGAAAAATCTGAAGAAATAAAAATGGCACAGAATCACTGGATCCTATATGCAATGTGGAAAACCACACGTTGGAATTTAATTCCGAGTCTAGCCATCAAACTATAAATTCATCTTTATTATCTTTTCTTTCTTTCTTAAAGTTTGCCATAGGGCACATGAACTTGGCTTACTGGAGAAAAAGAAAGAAAAAAGTGAGAAGTCATCCTCCAGGGGAATGGCCACACTGCAATCCCTTTTCATTCATTCTCCTCTCCGGATTTTGGACATGCACACACACCCACCCAGCGTGTTTTTCAAGCCTCTGGGTCTGGGACTTGTACCACACAGTCAGCGATGTGGGATCCAACTGTTAATCTTCACGTCATCTTTATTTTATAGTCCTCATCTTTATTTTATAGTAAAAAATAACTTTTATACCAAAACTTTCAAAAAAGACCAACAGAAACCAGCAGGTGGCATAGTGGTCAATGTGCTAGACTCCCATATGGCCAACAGTGGTTTGAGCCCTAGTTCCAGCAGCTTGAAAATCACACCAGGCATCTGTGTGTGCATGCCCGAAATCCTGAGAGGAAAATGGAGGAGATGGAATTACAGCGTGGTTATGCCCACTGTATGGCCCTGACACCCCGAGGGGGTGATTTCTCACTTCCCTCTCTCAGACTCTCTCTGGCAAGAACATGTGCCCCATGTCAAAACCTAAACAAACAAACTGCAACAACAAAAACCCCCCAATATTTCCTTGTCCATCAAAAATACACACAAAGGTGCCTCAGCGCACAGAGGTGACATGTCCGTTATGTGCACCTGAAGCAGACTGGTTCTGAGAAGGTGAGTTTATATATGTGGACCATTTACATACAATTCGAAGTTCTTGGAACCCTCGAATAGGATTTCTAGTCTATGCCACCAGGTGGCTTAGTTGGAATTTTGAGTATAATATTTAGTCTTTTTTGAGTCTCAATCTTTTCATATATGAAATTTGGGTAACAATAATTACTAAAATTATCACTATTATTTTGGAATAAAAGTTGGGGAGTACTGTTCACAATAACAATGATAAAAGCTCTAAAAATGTAAACTATGGACTATAGTAGAAATGCAGTAGTATGCAATTGTACCAAATTGAAAATATCAAAGGATGACAGTGAATAAAAAAGGTAATAAATATATTCTACATACATCTGTATTGCATAATTTGCTCAAAATGCCATACATATTTAGAAATATAGTAGTGTTCTGACATTATTTTATATAAGGAGTGCTGTGAATATTAGCAGACTAAGAGCAATGGAGGGCCCTAACTTTCTAGGTATTACACATAATGCAAGATGATGTTTGTGACGAACTGTACACTCACTCATGCTTTCTTTTTTTTTTTGGTTATTGTTTTTGCCATAGGGTGCATATGCTCACCAGAGAGAGACAGAGAGAGGGAAAGTGAGAAATCATTTCTGAGATTCAAAATATGCTACTGTACATATGTATGTGATAATAAAACCAGAACTAAACGTTAAACTTAATTAAGGAAGAACGTGAGAACTTCCATGCTAGGCCCTGTGCTATTCACAGGGGGAAAATCAGGAAGGGAGATAGATACTGCTTTTGGGGTAACTGCAGTCTGCTGCATAAATTTTTTTTTTTTTTTTTTTTTTTTTTGTTATAGGCCACATGTGCTCGCCAGAGAGACAGAAAGAGACAGAGTGCCATCACTCCCTGGGGCATGGCCACACTGTAATCCCTTCTTCATTCTCCTCTGATTTGGGGCACGTGTGCACACGTATCTGGTGTGAGTTTTAAATATGGGTTTGGAACTTGAACTGAGGTCGACTTCGTGGGAGTCCAGTGACTTAACCTTTACGCCATCTGCTGGTCCCACTGAGTAGGACATATTTGAAAGATTACTGAAAAAATGGTGGTGGAGGGGCCTCACCTCGTGCACAGGGTAATGCACATCTGAGTTGCGGTCCTGACCTGGTCAGCCTGAAACATGCCAGGCCCTTGAACAAGCGCCCAAGATCCTGAGTGTTAGAGGATAGGATGTAGCGTCGCCAGACCCTGTAGAGGGTGCCCCACGGCACTCTCACATGGCTGACCTAGTTCAAGTCCCGGATCAGTGACTTGAGATACTCCTGTCGCATGTGCGGGCGTGTCCAAGATCCTGGGAGGAGAATGGAGAAGGGAATGCGATGTGGCCATTCCGCTTAAGGGTGATTTCTCGCTTTCCCCTCTCATCCCCTCGCCCCCCACCCCCAGCCCACGTGCCCTAAAGCAATAATCTCAAAAAAAAAAAAAAAAAAAGAGAGCTTTAAAAGCATGGTGCTTTATTGGTATATGGTAATACTAAATACGTGGAGGGCGAACACGGGTCTGACCAAACGCAGTTAGCCTACATCATCCCCAAGGACAACGAGCAGAACTTGGTAGGAACGGGGTAGACACCAGCTAGAATGGGAACCCGGGGAGCGGAGGCAGAAATCTTGCACCTCCTGACAGCGAACCGCCCTGGGCAGGTTCTCGGTGCAATCGGTTTCCATTTCCTGCTCTTCCGTCGGCAGCACTGCTATGACGGTATTTCGTATCAGGCAAACGCCAGCGTATGTATCACAAGAGGTGACAGCCATAACCAGAATTAACAGCTCATTTAACTGGGCTTTTTCCGGAGGGACTGAGGGGCTGGCTGTGGGAGGAGTCCCCTTGGGTCCACGCCCAGGTATCTGGGGTGCGAGAGTGGGAACTGATCTGGGGCGCGCAGGCTCGGGCTGCCGTCCTGGTGGCGCCGGCGTGCAGAGGTGCCTTTGGCCTCCTGAACTCCCGAGTCTTGGAGGCTGAGCGGCGTTTGTTCGGACCGTGCGACAAGCCGCGGCGCCCGACTCCCCCGGCCTCTGCAGTTTGCTTCCCCGCCAAGGCGCCCGCGGGTCCCAGGGCGCCGGGAAGCACGTGCGTGAGGCCGGCGCCCCCGAGCACGATCGAAGGTGCGCCCAGCTCCTCTCCGCACTCGGTAACTTCTCGTTTCCACTCAGACATCATGTCGTCATTTTGAAGACATTTTTAAGGCGGGGAAACTAAAGCAACGAACCAACTGTGCATCGAACTCCTCCGGCCCACCGCACAGCATGTTTGCGCATGCGCGCCTGGTGACACCCCCCCCTCCCCCACCTCCAACCCCGTGGACTCCGGGCAGGGCTTGAGGCTCGGTGGTCTCAGGGTACCCCCGAGCTTGGGAATGTTGAATGTGAAGGGATACGACTGTTGGGTGCAGGGGAGCGCAAGCTAATGGATTTCCTAAGTTCTGTACGAAATTTTCATCCAGCCATCATGTTAGTGACCGAGTGTAACATTTACGGGCACGGGAGTCACACACACAAGTTCCGACGGCAGTTCAGTTGTCTTCTGTTCAATTTCTGGTGGGATGAGAGCCCACGTTAAATTTTTAATTTAGTAAGTATAAAGTGGTATTAAAGCATCTAGAATGTATTTTTTTGAACTTCCTTTTGCAATGTATAGCATTCTCCCACCAACTTACTATTATCACCTTACACACTATAAATTCTAATAGTTTTCTTTTTTTAAGAATTATTTTATTAAAATTATATTTATTTATTTATTTATTTATTTATTTCAATCTGACCAGAGAGAGAGAGAGGGCAAGTGAGAAAGCAAGCCGCCATGTCTGAGACTCGAACTCTAGTGCCTCCCCATCTTTTTTGTGAAATACAAACACGTGGGAGTCCAGTGCCTTTAAGGACAGTGTTACCTGCCGGCCCCCCACTGGTTTTCTAAATTGGTTTTATCACAATCCAGTGCCCACATCTTTAAGTTTCTTCTATGTATATATAATTTCTGCATAGAAATGTGTCTTCTCAATACCTTTTATTTGGCTAAGATGTTTTTAAAGTTTTAAAAATATTATTTATTGTGACCAACAGATGGCATAATGGTTACATCGCTGGACTCCCACTTAGTCAACCGTGGTTTGAGTCCTGGTTTGAGTCCTGGACCCCGTGGTTTAAAACTCATGCTGGGTGTGTGTGCATGCCTGCCCAAAATCTCGAGAGGAGAATGAAGGAGAAGGGATGGAAGTGTAGCCATACACTCTGGGGGGGGGGTGTCATTTCTCGCTTTCTGTCTCTCTGGCGAGCGCTCACACCCTATAGCAAAATCTCTCTCTTAAATATTATTTCTTCTGTGGGGGACCTGGAGCATGGGCACGTGTGCACCCTGTATGTTTCAGGGCTGTCTTTGGACTCAAACCCTTACCCCTCCTACGTGGGCCATTCTTGCAGGTGCTGCCTACCACGTGCCACTGTCTAGTGCCTCCCCCTCTTTGTTCTGAAATACAAATAGTTCCTTTCTCACGTAGTCTCCTGAAGTCTAGGCATAGCTGAGGAGAGACATACTTCATTTTCATTTATTCTGAAACACTGAAATGCTCTGCCTTTAACTAGGCTGAAAATATTCAGATTATTTCCA